GTCCTATAGTCAATGGAGTAGGATGCATCTACCTTGTAAAAACAATGCAGATTGACACCACTTTAAGCACGCTAGCTCCATTCTAGGGAATCCTAGTATTTATAGTTTTACAGGGTCCTTAACCTTCTCTGCCAAAAAGTGCTGATGCCTCATAAAACTACAGAAGCCATGACAGTTAAAGTGGTGTCAAAGTGCATTATTTCTACAGTGTAGATGCACCTCTTGTCAAAATTATTGTCAATATTACAGTCAGTGTAGCTTCTCTCAGTTCTGTATCAATCACCACTATCATAGTCATTGCTATATTAAATAAAGTCAAAGTACACTTAAAGTTCATTGAGACATAAAAATACATTCAGAAATAATTAATCCAATATTTGTTAATAATGAATGGGGGGAATTATTTAATTGAATATTATAGAATGAATAGTTAATTTTATTTATCTACATGTGCTTTTAATCTATTTTACATACGTTTGTTGTTGTGTGTCTTGTCATTTCTGACTTATGGTGAACTCCACAAGTATTGCCACACTGCAGAAATAAGGCAATTGGACACCACTTTAACTGTCATGGTTCCACCTTGTGAGATTTGTAGTTTGGTGAGGTATTCAGGCTGGTTTGTCAGAGCGCTCTGTTGTCTCATCAAACTACAAATCCAAATATTCCACAGGATGGAGCTATGCCAGTTAAAGTGGTATCAAACTGCTTTATTTCCACAGTGTGGATACATCCCAAATGTCCAGGTGCATGTCTGCTTCTCCATGTACATCCGGATGCATAATGGCACCACATGTACAACTTGTCAGGAACTTGCACAGGTGTAAGCCATCAAGCTTTTGTCCCCAGGATGCACTAAGCAGCTTCCTCTCCACATCTGAGATTCAATGCCTTGTGTATGTGCCTTGAGAGCAAATACATAGTTTAAAAACTGGAAGGAGTGAGATACTCTTTTAGAGAGATGGTTTGGAAAGGAAACACAGCAGGCAGAGACAGGGTTAAGCATGCCTTTCTCATTCCCAGAGTAGGCGTGTTTTTTCTTTCTTTTTTTAATGGCAGTGGTACAGTAGCACATAGCTGTGTGGTTAGTCCCTGAGTGACAGGATGTCTATCTGAATGCACCATTTCTCTGCAGCTCTGATGTTTTCTCATAGAGATGTCCCTACTGTGTCTGAACTGCTATCATGGGGAGGGGGGACAATAACCGAGGGGGGAAATATAATATCAGTGTAATTAAAGATAATGAGCAGCTGATTATCACTGGGAGCCAAGATTGAAAACATTTCATGTAAATTGCCTTTCTTGTTGGGTTAATTAAAATATATATATTGGGAGGTGAAAAAAGATGAAGGTGGAAGACTGTTTGGTTCAATGCAAATCTGCTAAATGGGTCTGCAATTAATATTGGTGTTGACTTTCACCTTCTATTAACATAACAAAAGAGATTAATAAGCACCATGCAAATTATTTTAAGTGATGCAGTTTTGACAGTATAGGGGTAAGCACAGGTGCTGCCCACAGAATGATGTAGAAGGAATGGACAAGAACATTTCACTAATACAACCTGGGCAAATTTATGGTGAGTTTGATGCAAACCCAGACATGCATCCTCCTATTCTTTTCCTTGTGATGCTCAGTTACAGCTAATCCAAATAATTGTACCAATGCTAATCATCCTGTTTAACCAGAGCATGGAAAATTTACTTGTGGGGGTCTGCACCTCTCAACCAGTATAAATAAAAAAGAATCATGCTCAGAACCACAGTAAAACAGGAAATGTTCCTGCACCTCCCCATTTGCTCTGATCAATCTTTTCAATGGATGCTATTTGCATTTTTAAAAACTTGCAAATTTAAAAAGAAAGACAAGTGCAAATGTTGCATCTCTTTGGTCTACGTAGTTTTTTTTAAAAGGGAGCCTTTTCCCTTTCTTTCCACGCAGTACAAAGATAGCATGCATGCTTACTGTTGTCTTTCCTATCTCTTTTAAAGAAAAAAAATTAAAAAATGCTTCTTACACAGTGAATCTGGTTGTACAGTGGCCATCATATATCTGGTTGTCTTTGAGCATGTTGAACTACACAAGCCATTAATCCCATGGTTATTGGCCACTCTGGCTGGGGAATATGAAAATTGTAGTCCAACTCAAGTGGCCAATGAAAGGTTGGAGCTTACAGATTGGCTGAAAAGCTAACCGAAATGGGAACATTGACTATCTACATAGATACAATAGAACCATTGTGGTTTAATGGTTTGAGCACTGGACTATGACTCTGGAGACCAGGGTTCAAATCCTGGCATGACCATGGAAACCTACTTAGTGAGTCATACTCTCTCAGCCTCAGAGGATGGCAATGGCAACCTCCCTCTGAAGAAACTTGCCAAGAAACCCCTGTGATAGGGTTGCCTTAGGGTCGCCATAAGTCTGAAATGACTTGAAGACATACTCGGATTCAGTGGGTCCTCGGTATCAGGGGTTTGGTTCTGGGACCCATCATGGATAGCAGAATCCATGGACACTCATGTAATATTAAATACAGTGGTGTAATAAAATGGTATCCCTTATGCAAAATGACAAAATCAAGGTTTGCCTTATGGAATTTATATTTTTCAAAAATATTATCAAGCCGTGGGCACTTTCATCTATACATAAGGAATCTGTCGATATGGAGAGCTGACTGTACTTATGGCAAGAGAGAGGAGGGCAGGATGAGAGGGAAGTTAGTGCAATTGGATTTTGTATCATTGTGCCTTTTTGCTTGTGTGTGAGTGAGTGTAAGTAAACAGGAAAGAGTCACACTCAGTGGCCATAGCACACATTTTGAAGAATATCCCAGGTACAATCCTTGGTATTTCCAGGTAGGAGAGACCTCTTTCTTAAACTGTGATGAGTTTCTGCTAGTAACTGAAGAGAAGAAGACTGATCTACATTGCAGATTGCCGAGAGAACTGTTCCTACAGACATACACAGTCATGGAGCTTCCTATATATGCAACATATTTATCCATGATCCAAAGAAGACATTGACAAAACAGCTATATTAGCTGTTTTCTGGTTGTTGTGGTGGTGGTTAATTCTCTCTCATTGTGAGTGTGCTTCTTACCAGCCTACTATAAATTCCTGTTTTATATACACTATAAGTATTATGGGCAATAGATATATGTTACTGCCCTCTGATGGAATACACAAGAACTGCCACTTTTATTTTTTAAAGCCACCAGAAACAGAACAATAGAATCAAATGTACATGTTCTGTTTCTGTATAATATACAGAAAGTAGCTTATACAGTTGGAGTAGAAATCTTAACAAGCTGCCTTCCTAAGATGACTGTGTTAATATGGTTATAGATTCATTTATTTGTATATCAATTGTATCTCAACCTCTCTGACACAAAATGATTCAAAACAAGTAGCAGCTTGTGTGATACAAAACTTCAGTTTTTTAAAAATCCTTTATAAAATAACAAATGATTAATCAATTCACATTTTGATTGATAGTCCTAATGTAACACAATGACAATTGATCAATTTTTATTGCTTAAAGCTACTGGGCACTACAGTGGTTGGATGTCTTTAAGTTGTTTCTGACTTATAGAAACCCTAAGGCAAACTTCCTGACATTAAGGGCTGTTGGACAGTGGAACACTCTCCCTTGGAGAGTGGTGGAGTCTCCTTCTTTGGGGGCCTTTAAACAGAAGCTGGATGGCTATCTGTCAGGTATGCTTTGATTGAGAGTTCCTGCATGGTAGGGGGTTGGGCTGGATGGCCCTTGTGGTCTCTTCCAACTCTATGATTCTAGATTCAAGTCTACGAAAGCTCATGCTACCAGCTTCTTTCTTTTTGAGTTTAGTCTCAAAGGAGCTATCAGATCCCTTTACATACTAACTTTAACTCTATATGTGTTGTGTTGCCTTTCCAACAAAAAGTACCTTTCCTCACTTCATATAAATAACCAATTTCATAGAAGCTGAAAGGTTAAAAAACTTCCTACACTTCCTAATCTTCAAAAGAGGTATCCAGGGTGGTGGACCTATTTGGAGGATAGCTTGGCACCTTGGAAACCTCCTTTAAAGTTTAGACTACATACAACCTAGAATGGATGTACCGTAATGCTCGACTGACATCAGAGCTACCAGCAGTTACTGATTTAAAAGTTTCTCCACTATATGGAAATAACTGTGTGTATGTGCCTTCAAGTTGCTTGTCAACCCCACTAATTTCATACTGCTTCCTCAGGCAAGGATTACTCAGAGGTGATTTTGTCCGTTCTTTCCTCTGAAATATAGCCTACAGCACCTGGTATTCATTAGCTGTCCCATCCAAGTACTCACCAGGAATGAGCCTGCTTAGCTTCACATTAGTTCAAGACATCTCTGAGTGATGACTGTTTCGTTTGAAATAGATGTTTTGTGCATTTTTTCAAGTTCTATGTCATCTTAATAAAGTTTTAATAAAGAGTTTGATTGAAGCTCCTATATACTTACATAAAAGACATAGATTACAAACAAAAAAGAGTTGGTTAGAGATTTCAGTGTTTTGTTCCTGAAAATGAAAGAATACCAAAATGCATATACTACTCAAAATTACTGAAAGTACAAGAACCCTCCCCTCAGTCCTCACCTTTTTTTCTGTTAAAGAAGCAATGTCTTAGAACACATTTTCTTCTTTAACTCAAATACTGTGGGTCCTCCACATTAGCTGGGGTTTGGGGAGCCAGGCCCTGTGAAATTGGGAAAACTGCAAATAAAAACAACTTTTTTAAACTTGAGAGAACACCTCCCTAGGAATCTCTAGGTCCTCTAGCAGAACTCTGTAGTCAACAGCTGCTGGAAGCTGACCATAGGATGATGCAGGAGGACCTACAAATGCCTAAAGAAGTGTTTTCTCTAGGAATGTCTAGGTCCTCCAGTGTGACTATATGGTCAACTTTCAGCAGAGTTGCGTTGGAGAACCTAGATATTCCTAGAGAAGACATATTAATCAAATCTACAAATAATCAAATCCACAAAACTGAAAGCCACAAATATAGAGAGCCAATTGTACTGTTCACACTGATTGGCACCAACTTTCCAGGGCTGCAATGCACACATTTTCCCTGCCCTATCTACAGATGTCAGGGATTGAACCCGGATCCTTTTCCCTGCAGTGCTTGTGCTCTAGCTGAGCTATAATTTCTCCCTGAAATGATCAGTGTTGCTGTAGCAGCCAGGAGGCAGTGTTTCCATGCACCCATCCAGTTTGTTTTTCTGCCATTGAGCTTGTTCAGCAAATGCAACTCAACTAGGCTGCTGATGAGGGGACATCATGCTCCTCATGTTGCACTTCTGCTATCATGTTATGGATTGGTGAGGTCATTAAATACAAATCCTCATGGCTGAGAATTAAGCTATTTTAATGCAAGTAGAAAATGACTTCAACCATTATGACTGATTTATAAGGCCTATTAAGTGCTTTTACTTCTAGATTAGGATTTCTCTGACAATTCCCAATCTCCCTGTAAGAAAGCACCTGGAAAGTATTTTATTACACAGAGGTGCTAATAACAGTTGCTGGCAAGGAGGAGGACAGGGTGGGATGGCTGTTGCATTAACATGAAGGTGTAAGGATTCAAGTAGGATCTGAATGTGCTGCTGAAGCAGTTCCATCTTCCCCTGAAACTGGAAAAGTTTCATCTTTTATTCCATAGAGCCAGTGTGGTATAGTGGCTTGAGTGCTGGACTAGGACTCTAGGAGACCATGGCGTGAATAGCCATTGCAACCCATTGGATGACATTAAAGTCTAATCTGCACTGCAGGAATAATGCAGTTTGACACCACTTTAACTGCCATGGCCCAGTGCTGTGGGATTCTGGGATTTGTAGTTTTGTGTGATATTTAGCCTTCTTTATCAGAGAACTGTGATGCCATTGTTGCTGCTGCTGTGTGCCTTCAACTCTTTCCCAAATTATGGTGATCCTAAGGCAAACCTATGAATGAGACGGAGACTAGAGCGAGAATGGCAGAAAACTCAGAGTGAATCTGACGGAAAACAGGCTAAAAACTACCTGAAAACATATGGTGATGCAATAAAGG